TGCAAACAAGATGTTTTGTTCTCTTTACAGTAACATTACCTAAGTAATTGTCAATGCATTCTTATAAAATATTCGTAAGTTTTTACCAATATAAAGCACTTCACATCTGTAAATCCTTACTACATTTACACAAATTGAGTAAAAAAAAATTCCCTATGACATATGCTAATAAAAATCAATGGTCATATATGAAATCACATTCAGTTTGGAGTCTAATTTGATCCAAAAGTGTATATATACACATTTCTCCTTAAATTAATTTTCCCTGAGAATGAAATATTACTTAACAGAATAGATTTTTAATTCAACTAAGAATAAATGACAGTCTTTTCACTAACTTGAAAGGGCTTTAAATGAGATCGAGTAACATCTCTACTACCCTTACAAAGTAAAATTGTGCAGATTTCCTACTGCCTTGGAAGTGCGTGCCTGGAAGTTACCAGAAAATGTAAACAGTAAACAAAGAGCACAACAATGACAAATAAAGACTATGCCTGTGTACACATATATATATAAATAAATATATACTTAATATATGTGAACAAATAGTAAACAACACATTTTCAAACTTCTGAGAAGAAAGAGCAGGCACGTTATTTTGATAATTAAGGACATCTGACTCAGTTCTCTTACAACAACCTTTAACAGGGCAGCTACAAAGCTCTGTGACACCGTGTTCCTTGCTGAGTCAAAGGCAGGGCTCACATGTGCAGATCTGCCAAAACCTGCCCTCCTCAGCCAGCAGAAGTATTTCTAGCTGGAATTCCTTGTTAATGCACTCAGACTCAGCTCCCATTCTTCATGACAGCAGTGCACTTGATTCTCAGACGAAAAATTGGCTACTATAATTTTGGTAGCATAAATGTCCTGATTTCTAGGGGGGAAAAAACATCTGCGTATTTACACAAGCAAAGGTTTACCCATCCTATTCACTGTCCCTGGAGCCTGGTTTGGAGGCAGTGGCACAGCCCAGCATCACTGTAACAATACCACATAACAACCCTTTCAGGACAGGCTTAAGACAGGTACAGAGCTCACCATGCTCATTTACCACACAGGCTTTAATTATTGTGCTAAAACACAATTTTATAACATATTATTTTCAAACGCTGCTCAGTTTGAAGTAGCCTACACAAAAGTACTACATTCCTTCCAAATAAATGAATAATTTTATTAAACTCCTCTAACATGGCAAAGTGTAAAATCACATTACAGACACATTAAGAGTTTTGTAATGTAAAGACACAATATCTGTGAAGCTCATTCCAGTTGCTGTGCTAAAAAGTTCACTTCAAACCTTTGAACTAGAATTACTGTTCTGTATCAAATTTATTCAACTGACACAGTTTAATATCTCTTCCTGAAAAGTTTACTCATGCCCCTGATGACAGCAGGCCACCTGCCTCTGCTAATTAGCAGTACCATGTCCTGTTGCAGCTCTATAACAAGCAAACAGATTGGCTCTTCAGCTGGAGCATTTTGTTCTGGAAGACCAGAAGCTGTTGAATCTGTGTCCTGCTCCTTCAAAAAGGCTTTAAAACTTACTGCACCAGTGGTACCTCAGCTGAGTGCCGCTGATCTGTGGCTAAAATTCTCATTGTTTCTAAGTCTTCTTAAAAAAGGATTCTGTAAAAGTCAATCATTCAAGACAGTTCCTTGATTTCAGCACTATTTAAAGACACAATTAACATTTTAAAACTGTACACTTGGATAAAACCAGGTATCATTAGTCACTTATTAGTCACCTTCAAAACAGGCAGTGTGTTCATTATGTTAATGTCCCTGGAGTGCTTAAAGCAACCTTTTGCATTTTAAGTGGAGGCTCTTGGTAAAAGGTGGCACTTAATAAGAAATAGCAATTACTGAGGCATGTTACTCTCCAGAAGAGTGCAGTATGAATTTTAATTTCTTCCTGACCATGTTTCAGCTAAGGCTAAAACAGACATTTTAGTTTAGAAGCAGTAGGAAGTACAATAAAAGTGAAAAGTAAAATAAGCGACTACACTAATCTTCTCTGAGTTTCAATTAAGGCCCAGCACCTCTGGATTAAAGGCTTAATTTAACAAAAAGCCTTAATTAAGCATACATGTGTATAGGATCACCTTAATGAGGTATGACAGAAACAGAAGAGAGAGCAAATATTTTAGAGAAGCTTATTAGCAACTTTAAGAAATTCAGTCAAAGAATCCTAAAAAAAAGTAATGCAATACTGAAAAGACACAAGAATGTTGAACCAAGTTTGAGCATAAAACAGAAACCAAAATAGGTGCAAGAGAGATATTTTTCAGTATCTTTGTATTTAATTGATACATATTAATGATTTTTCTACACATCAGTGGGTTTAATTTTACAAATATTACAGCATTTACATTTCCATTTAAATTTTAGACAGGAGAAAATAATTTTCTACTTTATTCACTAATTAAAATTTATTGATAAAAATCTTTAAGAGTTTATGTTGTAAAATAGCCCTTCATCATCTTACTGAGTAGGGTTTGGTGTTAGGCTCAACTTGCAAGTTCACTTTAAAAACCATTATTTCATCTTTTCAATTCAGCCTTCGGAAACAATCAGTGATTTAATGTCATTTTAAGGATAGCCACTTCAGCTGCTTTTTACATCTTCCCCTACAGTAAAGAGAGGTATTCTCATTTGCAGATTTGACTTTAAAGTAATTACTTATAATTACAGAGAAGTGCATCCAGTGGATTAATCACTCCATTTATATGCTGCTCTCAGGATTGCTCTCAGGACAGCTTCACTGTTTTTGCTTGGAAAATGTCAGTTTCACAAGAAAACAAATCTCTCAAGTCCATGGCAGCTGAGAAGAACTCTGACAACTATTTAAACCCCAAAAAATAAATGGCACACCTGGACTTAAGGCAGCATTTGTACTTGTCCTCCTTGACTGAAATAAAGGGCCATCAACTGAGAATAACTGGGAAAACAGTCAGAGAAAGCCTACACTCCTACTGGGGGGCTGGAGGTACCTTCACATGGTTCTGGATCTTAAAGAAACATCTCAGTCCTTGTCAAAGACAAGGGAAGTGCTTCTGCCTCAGGAAGCCCCTCTCTAAAGCCTGGAAAGTCCCTGAAGGAGCTGCTGCTTGTGCTAAACACAGTCTTACCATCTCCCTGAGCCATCTGCTTTCCAACTGTGGACAAATATTGGACATGAGGTGACATAGATCTTTGTGTGATCTATTTGGATACCATTCATCTCATACCATTCACCACCATGTTCTCTTTGTACAGGTGATTTTTTTTTTTTATAATGGTGACTCTGTTATGGAGTTGCCAAAAATACAGGTCACCCAAAATGGCAGTGAACAAGCTGATGAAGGATTTGGAACACAAGTCCTATGAGGAGTGACTGAGGGTGCTGGGGATGTTTAGCCTGGAGAAGAGAAGGCTCAGGGGGGACCTTATCACTCTCTAGAGTACCCAAAAGGAGAACATAGTGACATGGGTATCACTCTCTTCTCCCAAGTAACAAGCAATAGGATGAGAGGAAACAGCCTCAAGTTGGGTCAAGGGAGGTTTAGATCAGATATTTGCAGAAATTTCTTCACTGGAAGGGTTATCAAGCTGAACAGGCTGCCCAGGGAAGTGGTGGAATCACCATCCCTGGAAGTGTGTAGGTGTGGTTCATAGGGGCACAGGTTAGTGGTGGACTTGGCAGTAATCATTGGACTCAATGACAGAAGACTTTGCAAACCTAAACTACTCGATAAATCTATGATAACTACAGGGCCTGCCTCCCATCTCACTGCTGCGTCCCTGACCACCGCGGGAGGTTTGGACTTAGATGATCTTTAAGGCCCCTTCCAACCCAAACCATCCTATGATTCTCTGAGACAGAACAGCACTGTGAGCAGTGGCTCCTCTTTGCTACAGACACTGTTAAAGGGTCTCACTTCACCCTCTGCCAGACTCCACTAGTAAGCCACATTCTCCAGCTGCACCAGTGAGGATGTTGAGATCACAGCAGAGCAGCTTCAGCCCCGAAGGGGTTGCTCACATCATCCTTGATCTCTGTGTCACAGGTTTCCTTGGCTGCATAAACCAATCTTGCAGAGCAGTTCAATGGATTTACTGCTATGGATCTATTTTTTCCTCAGTTCAGCTTGAAATCTGTGGTTCCTCCCTTTCATTCTGAAGCCATTCTGTGTCCATCTGGGCAGTTCACTGGGGGTGAAATGAGGTTGACAGGAGAGGGACACGGTGGTTTTCGGATCCAAAGTTAACTTCTGTGCCTGGAGCAAATGTTAAGTTCTCTCCCATGGGAGCCCTATGAGAAAACGAGTGAAATTGCAGTGAATTTCTATCTGCTATTGATGAGGCTGTTTCTGCTGAGAAACATTATTCAAATTCTTGTACATGTCTGCTTGTAAAAGCCACACTATTATTGTAGAATCATCTAAAAACTGTCAATGGAACATCATGATTTTACAGTGTATGGTTTCACATCTCTTAAAATAAAACATAAGCTTGGGGAGAAATGGAGGAATAGGTAGATAAGCCCATTCACTGTATGAAAATAATTCATTCTTATTTATATTCAGTATTCTGGAAGGCAAAGTTACCCTTTGGGGTTGTTTTTAATTATATGAAGTTACAGTGTGTTTGGGCACGCCAAACTTGTATAGTTCATAATGAGTTTATTGCATATAATAATTATAGGCTCAGTAATTAAAACTTGAAAATTACTGCTATTTTATTTAATATAAATGATAAATCAAAGATTTCATTTGACTTTTTATAAGTTAAAACTAGGATGTGTCAGAAACATCAATCTTAAATTTCATACTATGGTAATTGTACGTTAGGCTTCAAGTCCTGGAGTTGTATGTGTATAAAAGCCTTTGACAAGTCAAAAATATTGGCTAAGAGTGCAGTTTCTTCTAATTTAGTGTAGTATGTATGGGTTGAAATAATTTATAACAATAATTATTCAAGATTGGTTGGGAGTTCTTGCATTTTTAGGGCTGCTCCTCCAAATGAGAGATGATACAGTTTCTGCAGTCCATGTGCAGGATCGTACAACACAGTCTCTTCAGCTCCAGGATCTTTCATTAGCAGAACCTTTTAAGTCAGGGATAAGGGATACCAAGAACATTTACAAACCTGTGAACAAAGAAAAGGGCAGAACAATAGTAGATACTGGACTAAGAAAAAAGAGCACTCACAGCAAAAACAAGGAAGATGCAGAAAAGGAGGACATTCCTGATCCCAGTCCTCCACAGCGAATGTTAGGTAAACCATACTGATTTGTAATTTTGGTTTTTATTTAAAATAAACTAAAATGAGGATTCTACACTTTCTGTTTTGTAAGATAATTTAATGCTAAACAGCACAATAGCTTGTTTTAAAATTTGACAAAATTCAGCAGTTTAGGCCATTAGGTAAACAATGGAATTGCCATTGGTGGCTTGAATGTGTCTTTTCATATCTGAAATGTATTTTAAAATATTATTCTTGTGACAATGAAAGTAAAAAGTAAGATAGTGTATCTTCATGAAGACAAATCCTTCATTACGAAGCAAGAAGTATTTTTAATGTATATTGACTGTTATAACTTTCTTTACCTTTTGTTCTTAAGAAAACACCAGTGATTTTGATATTGTATTCATTTGGGGGGATATTTTATCATTAAGATTTTTTTTAAGTGTATTTGAAACTGTTTTATTCCCTATTCTGTGAAAAGACCTTTACTAGTGCTGCATGAAATGTATTCTTCATTAATATCTACCCACCTTTGCTCAAAGTTAAAAAGGTTTGTTTTTACAATGGTCCTCGGGCTAAACCAGGGGAGAATTAACACCTGTAGTTAAATACCTTTTTTCAATTTAGAAGCAAACATGCAATAAGATAAAAGTCACAGATGTGAGGGCTTGGAATGATGCCTGGTAAGAAAACTCACTTTTAAATTGTATTCTAATAATGCAGTTGTGGAGCAGCAACAGATGATATTTCTTAGAAAAACAAAGCCAGGGAGCATCTTAACAGACCAGGAGAGCAAATGTGCTTCCTGTCTCTGTTTCAGTCTTGTATTCCCCTTTTCTAAAGGCCTCAACAGTATTTTTGCCATTAATGTCTTCTTGTCTCCAGCCTTTCACTTGCCTTGGTTAGGCATTACTTAAAGGATCCTCTGGCTCCACAATTTTCAGTTTTAAATGAACTTTCATTGTCATTAACAGTTGTTTTACTTATTCTCTTCCGTAAAAGCTGCCTTAGGCCTCTCTGAAAATCATGTTGCCTTTGCTGTAGTAGAGTCTCAGCTCTAAAGGGAACCACGTAAATCAGTGATGCCCCACACGAGTACAGGCATCTGCCTTGTGGAATCAGCTGAAGGTAAAGAGGGAAACTTCAAATAATACAGAAGTGAGTGTAACAAGTGACAGGACGGTGCTAGTAAAACCAGCTGATTATTACTACTTTTACATGGTTATAGTTCTAAAGATGGGCGGGTTTTTATTTTGGTTCATTTGGAAGAGGGAATAACAGAGGGGAAAACAGTAAAGAGGTACTGGGGTTAACACAAGTATCAGTAATGAGCGATTATGGAAGCTAAAGGTTGTGGTGAAAAAATGCAGCCCAAGTGTTAACATGTTCTCTACCATTATAAGATGAAGTACTTTCTCTTTAAATCATTTACTGAAATGTCCCATATGAATCTACGTTCAAGTGATTCAAAGGAATGTGCTAAAATATTTTTTGAAATGGAAAATGTTGCTGGGTTTTACTTTTTAGCATTTTCACCTGTAGTCTCACCTTATTTTAAAATGCTTGTGCCAAGCTTTCTTAATAAGAATTGTGTGGTTTAAAAATTGCAACCGTGAAACAACTTAGAGAATGTAATTCAATATAACTTTATCTTCTTGAGTTAGTGGTTAATCAAACAAAATCACACAGGCCTCTATAATACCTTCTTTTTTTCAATAGGAACTTGAGTCTGAAAATCAAATAATAATAGTTTCAAGGTTAATGCATGCAATCACTTTGATAAACTTCATTTTAGGATAAATAACTTGGATGCAAATCGTTTTGTCAATAGATGGGTTGGGCTTGTAAACTTGACGCATAAGAACGAAAATTCTTGGATGCCTTGAGCTGTGGTAAATGTAAGTTTTCACTACTTGAATTTTTTTTAAATACTGCTTTAAGAATATCTTCACAAAGACTTTTGCTTTGACCATACACCCCTTCTTGTGTGTTCTGCTGCCAGTTTTTCTTCACCAACTATATAGTATAAAATCTTTCCTTCCAAACGCCTGTAACCTGTCCCTCACAAATATCCCAGCTGGTTTGTATCAGTTTGAAGTTAGGTTTTACCACCAATACCTTCCAGTTTTAATAATTCATATGTGAAAATTTTAAATAAGCATTTTTTTTCTTGTCCTGAGGATGTACAGAAGGTTTTCCACAAAGCCATCTCGTTTTCTTCCTTAAAACAAAAAGAGTCTCTGACCACTGTGATTGGAAGGAAATCAAGGGCAGGAGTTTTTTATGTTGGGATACTGTCTTTCATGCTGTGACTGCTTTGCTTGTTTGTTCACTCCCTCCACACCCAAATTTTCTCATCATCTCTTGTACATATTGGACTATCAAAACAGGATCTTGCTTCTTGATACCTTTACAAGGGTAACAAAAGTAACAACGTGGGGTCTGTGTGAACAAAACCACGTGCAGTGAAATCACCCTTCACATTATTCCAAAAGCATAAACTGGCCCAGCCTGAAACCTCAAAGCCATCCTGTTGCTTTGAGATTTGGATTCAAATAGATTTACATTTGGAGGATGTCATGACCTCACAAGGAAGTGGGATAGGCACATAGTTCAACCAAAGGGAAGAAAGTATTCCTTATAATTTCTTTAGCACCTCACAAAAGTTCTCTAAGAAGATCAAAGGCAGTGTGTGCAAATTTTAGATGATTAATGATATACATCTGTAGATGGATGTCTCAAAAATTAACAATTCTTGTCCTATAATAACAAGATACTAGAGTGAGGGAATCACCAAAACCCCATTCTTTAGTTTGCTAAAATTCCTTTTCCCTTTGTGACTAACTAGTACAATGGGTTTGGATGCACAAGCTGCCTGATGGGGTTTTGAAAGCTTATGCAGAACAAATGCATGTTGTACAGTAATGTCAGACTTATGCAAAGATTCTGATAGGACTGAAAGTGTTTACCCTTTCCTTCCCATTTAGAACTAGAACTCTCATCTAGGTGCCACCAGTTTTCATGGTAATTATCATATATCCCTCTTCCTTTCTTGTTTTGTCAAGTACCATTGAGGCCTAATCATGGACTCGTGTTATTGGCTTATTACACATACCTTGGACATCCCTCCATGGATTTTGGTAAATCCACACAAGCTGCTTCTTCTGGTCTTCAAAGATGGAAAAGATCTATTCTTTGTTGGACCTACCAGCATATTTTTTACTACTAAGAGACTGACTCTGGACTTTATCTGCCATTTGTGGGGGTAGGCAGGAATACTGTAAATATTTTCACTGATTTTTTTCTTTAAGGCAGAGATTTCACATGAACATACAGCAAGGCACCTCACAGTTATCATTTGGGATCAATAAGCTCAGCAATCACAGCACATTATCCCTAGTGTCTTGTGACAATATCTTTGTTTATTTATGTTCTTTATTTCTATTGCATGTTACAGTTTCATCACAATCACAGTATTTTGCAGCAGTAACAGTTTTTTATTATACTAGTTTATGAATTTTTATTTTTAAGAATACATAAATGTAATGTTGGAGAAAACTTCACAAATTAATTCTAACAGGGATTTTAGTTATACTGAAGATCTGAAATTATGTTATCGTGCATTGTTACATTGTTTAGTTAACCCCATCTTACTGGCTCTGAAAAGGTAACAAAATAAATCCAAATTACTCGCAAATAAAAGTTTACAATAAAAAAATCCTGTATGTAAAAGGAGTTCTGATAGTTACTGAATAGCTAAATCATTAATGGATGCAGTTGGAAGGGACCCTGAAGATCATCTGGTTCCAAGTCCCCTCTCAAGGAACACCTTCCCCTAGACCAGGCTGCTCCAAGCTCCGCCCAACCCAGCCTCGAACACTGCTCAGGGATGGGGCATCAGCAGCTTCTCTGGACAACCTGTGCCAGGGTCTCACACTGAGGAATTTCTTCCCAATATCTAGTCCAAACCTGCCCTCTATCAGTTTGAAGTCCTTGCCCCTTTGTCTATCACTCCATGCCCTTGTAAAAAGTCCCTTCCCAGCTCTTTTGTAGCCCCTTTAGGCACTTAAAGGTAAGAAGTCTGTTGCCTGTCCGTGGTTGGTCTGATGTTATTTTGGACATGACATGGCAGAGGAAGGTTGGTAGTACTTGTTCACTTCTTAAGCTATGATAGTAGAGAAAGCAATCAGCCTTTTTATCTGTTCTTGCAAAGCAGGTATAGACTATTTTCTGCTTCTTTTGAACTCCTGTAGATATGATCCTGGCCTTCATTCACCAAATGCTAAACACTGGCTATTTACACAACCTAAGATATATTTTGTTTTCTCACAAGTTTCATTAATTGCAGTTTAGCACAGTAATTATTTCTATTTGGAAAAATGGAAGTAGGTGTAGACTTAATAGCAGTCAGTCCCTTCCTTAGGTTATCTGATGAAATTCCTGCATTTTACCTTGATGGCTTTGTTCAATGCATGTGTGTAGCAGAAGCATAAATACATCATGCTTTATTACATTCTCTCATCTATCATCTAGAAAATATTAAGCAAAAGGGACAAGTGACTGATTGAAGAGAGTGTTGCTTCAGAGAGGTGATGATGGCAATTAGAAGAATTATCCCAACTGCTTGCAAGTTTCTCTCTGCAGTGAATATTTAGGGTGTTTTTTCTGCCTGTTCTCCCTTTTAATTTTTCAAGAAGACTTTTTACAGCCAAGTCTGTGAAGTGAATCAAAGCTTTTCAATAACCTTAGATGCAGGGGGTTTGCTTCCTCTTACACCCACTGAAAGTGTAGGACTGTCCAAAGACAGGTAGGACAGATCTGACAAAAGAACATTCTGCCAATTTTTTGGCTACCCTGAAAGTCTAAAGCTTGACAAGAGAGAGCAAAAGACAACACTCATTAAAAAGGTTACTTCAGATTTGGCACAAAAAAGGGAAATGCCTCTGGAATTCTTTTTGTCCTCTGTGTTTCATTAGCTTTCCTCCCTCAAGGGAAAAAGCCACTGTATCCGAAAGCTCTGCCTTCAGCTGGCTGCTGGCCATTAATCCTCCTGTGTTTGCTGGCTCAAGAGTGCTCACTACTTGGTCTGGTTTTCACTCTTTTGCCAGTTTTTCCTTCCTCTAAGAGCCTTTTTTGTCCAAGTCTATATCTTTTGTCGGGATGTAGATCATCAGTGTTTGCTGGGAATTTAGGTCACATAAAGGTGAAGTTTTTCTGCAGTCTGTGAATATACTTTCTCTTTTGGTTTGAGTTTGGTTTTGTGGGTTTATTTGTATGTGTGAAATGCTGCATTTGATGTATGTCACTTCTCTAAATTTAACATCTCTGTTGGGAAAAGGGGAAAAAAATTAATCAGCTTTCACTTTAAGCATTTGTTTTATAATCTTTCCTCCAGTCAGTAGCATTTGGCATTTCTTGCTTTCTGTCACTCCATGCATTGTTAACACAAAATTCACAAACTCATTTTATTTTCACTGGAAAGATTTGTAATAGTAACAGACAGAAACTGACGACCTTTCAGATTTTTTCTTGTCAGCATTTTTTACTTTTCAGCTTTTAGAATGCTTTAAAGTCAGGTTTGATTCTTGGGGTTATTTTTCTCCTTTGAAAAAACAGGTGCTGCATTCATGTTCCCATGTACTCCATAAAGTGAGTACATTTTCATATAACTATTCAAGCACATAATAGATGAGTATTTTAATTAAACCACTTAAGTGAATATCTTAATGAATTAAATGTAATCATCTTGAAAAGTAATTTTGATTCCAGATTTTTATGATAAGAAATATAATTTAAGGCTATTTTATGATGAAGCACTTTATTCTTTTTTATTACCTTTTTAAAAATTATATGGGAAAACATAGTTCCTAACTGAGCTAGACATGGATATACTAAGATGAAATACTTTAATTCAGGAAATCTCATGTGAACATGTGGAGATTTACAAAATTTCCTTAACACTTCAATTTTAAAAATGTGCATCTTGTAGAGAGTTCATGGACTGATGGATAAACTGTTTTTACATTCTGTAATCTATCCTGTTTAATCTGCACCAATGAGATTAAACATACTATAAGTAATTGTAATTATTTTTTCAGGCATGCCTGGAAACCTTTGGAAAATTTACAGGCAAAAAGTTGTCCTGTGTGCAGAAAAGAGCAGTATCGGACCAGAGTGATACACGATGTGGCATGCTTGGTTAAAATAAAGTGTGCTATTAGGTAAGCCTTACTTCTGCTACAGGTATGTCACTGGACAGTATCTCTTTCTCAATAATATTCAAAAAGTGTTAAACATTTGATAATAGACAGAATGAATGCACTACAAAAGTTATAGTTTTAAAAAATGCAAAAAATTATTGTTTCATATAAATAATCATATTATATAAACTCGAGTTTCCTCCTCTTGAGCAAAATTGCCTCTATAAGGGAATTCAAGCTTTCTGGAGGGATACATTGTTAGAAAACTGTAGAAAGACTTGAAAGAAACAGTGCCTCCTAAGGATAGTATATTAAGAAAGCGATTATTTGAGAAAAAGTTTTGTTGCATTTGCTTCCTTGGTCTGTTTCTTTCGTGTGATTCACCTCCCTTAAATCAGAACTCCTAAGTATCAGCTCTCTTCTTTTTCATTTATTCCTTCTTATTCATTTCAAACAGGCAGCACTGGAGTCACTCAGTTGTTTTGTAAGTCTGTTTATTCCACTTAGAAGGAAAATTATTTAAATATTAAATTTTAAAGCCTGCCTATTGGCTAGGCCAACAATATCAGGCTTTTTGTGAAGGTCAATGTTTTCCCTTCTCTTTTTGATAAATCACAGTGATCTATTTTCCTATAGAATCATAGGAAGGGGATACAGTAAGGGAAGAAACAAATCCATAAAGAATTATTACTTCCTTTCAATGTTGTTATTCCATTGCTTTGCCCCTCTCTAACTTGTGCTCAGAGAGCAAAAAGAGATCTTTGGAGGCACGAGCCCCTCTTGCTATAATCTGTGCTTCTGTATGACAGTGAGATTGTACCCTAGAAGTGACCTGGCAGAGTGGTGGAACAAAACTGGTGCTGCTGCTCTGCTCTTGTGCTGACAGTGGCAGGAGGGAGAGGGAATTCTGCTCTCAGCTTTAACGCTGAGACAGATTGCTGGTTGCTGTGCTGCCTCTGGAATCAATGCACATTCCTTCCCTGTAGCAGAGAAAATTAATATGGGGGTGACTGAGGAAAGCTGATGTTACACTCAGAAGTGCTCAAGCACTTAAATTGGGAATAAACTAATCCATTGGTGGGTTGTGACTGTGCTCCAGCAGTGTGATGAGCACAGGTAATAGCAACACTTAGATTGTTCTGCATGAAGGACCAGGGAAGCACTCACACGCTTCTTTCCCAATCAGGCTCTCAATTTTCCATGGGCCCAACATACCATGATCAGCTATGAACAGGGTGTCGCTAATGGGAAGTTGGTTCCTAAAGTCATCTTTCTGTCACAGAATTTCTGTCACAGAACTTGAGATGGCTACTGCAGCAATCTACCAAGCCACCTGTGGTGGGCTTTTAGGGTCCTTGTTTTTTGTACCTAATTTAGGGAGAAAAAGCTTGATAGACTGCCCACATTGCATCACCCAGTTATAAAAGCCATGGGCAGGTCTTCATCAATATAGTTTCCATACACAGCTCACAGTAGTAGGAAATCCTTTTCATATGGAACACTTTGGATTTTACAGGGAACAAAACAGGCATCACTTTTTCACCTTCTATCAAGACTACATTTATAGTCTTCTCATAACAATTAGCCAGGTTTAAATGAATTCAGTACTTGTTGTGATTAAAGGATATGTACTTATTTTTCTTAGTGGCTTTCAAGTGGCAACAGGAGATGAGTTTTCCTGCCATTCACTCTTATACTTTTAAGTGTTGGTTAATGAAAACACTAAAGAAAGTTTTCACAAAGAGCTATCCATTTCCAGATGCTAAAAAGCTTTCTTAAAATAAAATTTGCTTCTCAAAATTGTGCTATGCTTTCAAAATGTCAGTCCCTAAACATTAGCATAACCAAATGGGGTCACAACTGGGAAAAGAACTAATTTATTTTTTAATAACCCTGCCGCCTCCGGAAGGATCACAAAGGTTAAATGTCAAGTTTCATACACTTAAATAAATATCACAAAATAAAAAACAAGATCTGAAATATTAGTACTAGGAAGGACACGTATTACTTGTTTCAGGGTGCTACAGTAGCCCTTATTACACCTGTCATTAAAATTTTTAATAATCTAGATCAAAGGAGATAAGAAAGGTCACTGAAACCAAAGTAGGCTACTTTTTAGCACTACTATACACAGAGAGCAGGGTGTTGCTTCAGCATGTTAGGTAGCGAATTTCTTTGATCCTACCTATAAATGTCACTCTGTATGTCATTTAATTGTGGTATAGTCTTTTATTGGTGCAATTAAATCTTTTCAAACGCATTACATTATCTCCAGCTCTGCTAAAAATCTTGCCATTGTTTAGGAATTGAGCAAAGTCATTGTGAAGTGATGCAGTTGACTTTAGTTTCTTCCTTCCCCCCCTCCACATGATTTCTCCCAACGATTTTAATTTAAATCTCACCAAACAGTATAATGGTCCTGGAATTTGTTTAGTCGTTTGACTTCCTTTATCACACGGAGATGGTAAACATTCTGTTGCTAACTTGAAGTGGCTCCAAGCAGCAAAACTAGGAGGATATTAAACCAGTAAAAGCTTATCAACTGATTCATTGATATGCTGTAAATTCCAGCCTTTTCATTTTACTTTTGAGGGCTGCCATAAGTCAACACATTAGTAAGCAATTTGCTGACACTGGATCACTTAAAAAGGCTTCCCTGTGGACAAAGTTCACCTCGGCACTTTGTTTCATTTTATCATAGCCTTGTGCTGCTGTACAGATGACTGATGCAGTTTTGCATACCAATGGGGCATTTCACACAGTCTGTTTGTGCCATTCTAGTCGAGCTTTAAGAAGTCACAGACGTAAAAAGTAGAGGTGTGGTGTTTTCAGAAGCAAATTCAATCAGTCAGGTTCAGTTGTTTTAGATGGGAGAGAAAAAAAAAGTTATTAATTATTATGCATTAAAACACAGCAGGATTTAATATTTAAATCCTAGAACATGTTAACGCTAACAAATTATACAAAATGCTGATTTCCTTTCTGTTCACATTGATAGTTAACGCTGATTTGCCAGTTAGCAAAACTTCTGGGTCAAATTTCAGTTGCACTTTTTTTTCTTCCCAACCTTAGGCTTTATTTGCTGATTGATGGATATGAGTTGGGTCAGGTCATAGTGTAGAAAATACAGGAGTAGCTCAGAGGAGATAGTATCTTAGCAGCAGAGGAACTTCAGAGCCCCCTGTCTCAGGCAGGAGAAGAGTTTTCCACTTTATTTTTACAGTTCCAGCTCAAGGAGGCTCAGGAAAGGACTTTCAGGATCACTTAGTGAAACAGGGAAGGGAAGTGCAAGTTCGGGGAAGAAATAGAGGGTTTCTCACTGCTGGGGAAGAAGGAACAAGCAGCAGAGGCACAGAAAGGGGTTTAATGTGCCCCAGCCCACTCTGCCCCCTGCTCTCAGCTCTCCCTGGTGGTCAGTTGTCCTCAGCAGCCTGTCTAGTCCTGGTAGAGTTCACAGAGAGAGGGGCAGGTCCTGGAACTGACCCCATACTGTCTGTGTAGCCCTCCCATTGACAGAAATAGACCCTGGATAAGGGCTGAGTTACAGCATGGTTGCTACTCTTCAAATTCTGTGTCCTGAGAGGCTTTTGGAAAGCACCATCATTGCTGCTCTATCTTTCTGTTACATCTCTCCTCACTTGCTTACTAAAACAGGTCAGGTCTGTTCAATACCCATATAAATGAAGACCAAGCAAAAATCAGGACCAAAAGTTTTTTTCAAATGGATCAACCTTTACTTGATGGTGAACAGAAACCATAAGTTATATAAGAGTTAGGCGTCATCTTATCTTGTATTTCCTGAATATAGACTTTATATCAGTACGAGCAGTTAAAATTATAATGTGGAGTAGATTCAGTTCTAGAACCCAGGTAACAACAGTTGAGGTACAACTTACTAGGGTTGTTGTTGCTAAATTGATCACTTTAGAATATTACAGGCATAACCTCACTGAAGTCTAGTGCATCAGTATTTCATGAACCCTTCAGAGGGCGCACGGTGTCATCGTTCAGGATTGTTTGGAGACCACAAAGTGTAAATATTGAAGGAGCCCTGTGGTGGGATCCCTGTTTATTTGTTTTCTGTTTTACACATGCCCCCCAAGGTCAGTGTGGCAGACACTCAGGTCTGTTGCCTCCCTGTCAGTGAGTAGTCGTGAGGGGAAGCACAAGGTTCCCCATCTGCTCTTTGCTACACACAGAATTCTCTTACAGAGTGCACAAGGGGCTGCTGCTTTTCCCATCACATTGGGATTCAAATACACTATACAAGGGCTCTCGGGGAACTTTTCTGTTACGTTACATTGTTAAATCAGCATTAACTAACAAATAAATCCAGTTTGTACTGACACATAGATACATCCTTTCAATATACTGCTGTGTTAGGGATCATTTGAAAATACATTAAGTCATAGCAGTTCAAAATTAGAAGTGAATCAGACCATAGAATCAAAAGAACACAGGAAATTCAGGAAATCTGAAGTGTATATGAAATCTTAGAAGGTTAAGTGGGGTTTTCACATAGTTTCTGTGTTTTTTTGGGGGGATTTGGACTCTTGATTCTTTGGGTCTAGAAAAGCTCACTTTGAATATTCTGATATATTCTACAAAGGGTAACTTTAGCAGTAGGAAGAAAGTAAAAAAAAAAAAAAAAAAAAAGGAAATTAAATAATAGGAAAGTGTTCATGTGCCATCACACTGCCTGACCTTAAGCTCAATCCTTCTACCACCTCACCTTCCACTTCCCAACCCACACTCCCTGAAAAAATGGCTCCTTGTTTTCCAATCAGGTTTTCACTCACAGGAAATGCATGGAAAGGCTCACGTTGTATAGTACAGTACACCTGTATAGAACAGTAGACACCTGTATAGTACAGGTGTCAAAATGTTCCTTAAAACCACTGTATTTAGGAGCAGTGACACAAAGACAAGCCTAAGACTTGTGTGAGTCCCTGCAGAGCTTTGATACTGTAGTGCATTGAGAGAAACCCACAGCAAGCTGGGATTGCACTCCAGGAGATGACTAAGTTAAAGAGAAGCATTCATTGCTTTTAGGTATTTATTTTGCTGAGCACAGGTGGGAGCATCTTCAGATACGAAGACAAGATTGCTCAGGCCTATACGCAATACGTGGAAATATATTTAAGATAGTAAGTCATAAAATTCCATATTGAGGACAACAACTGAGATGCCTCTTCTCTCATTGCTTGTCAAAAAACAAACAAACAAACAAACAACAAACTGAAGACATGATGTATTGCCAGGGCTCAAGCTTGAAGGTTTCCGTGTCCACTTGAGCTCTGCATTTCTAGGCACACATGAGCATCCCCACAGGCAGCAAAAAGGATGATGAGAAGCCTGCATAAAATAGTTGAGGGAATTGGGGGTAATTTCTTATATGGAAGATAAA